TGAATACTAGTTAACTTCAGTCATGATAGAATAGTCTCAACTCATGAAGATTTCATCTGAATATTATCTATGATGATTACATATTCTAGGAAATTAATCCAGCAGACACTGAAGTTGTACTTTATAAGCTTAATATACAGTTCTGCCTCATCTAAGACCTTCAACATGCTTTGCACATGCTCAGTGTGTTCTTCCTTCTTCATGAAGTACATCATCACATTATTCAGATATATTATCATGAAGACATTCAGATATGCACAAAGTGTTTTATTGATGAAAGACTGAAATACTACAGAGATATTAGTCAGATCAAAAGACATCACTAGATATTCAAACAATCTCAGTGCAGTTCTAAAGACAGTCTTTTATTCATTCTCAGACTGTATTTACAGCTGTGTATATACATTGATCACATTCAGTTGTATGAATATGACAGCTTCTGTGAGATGATTGATCACATTCTCAATCAGAGACAGGGAATAGCAGCTCTTTATTATCTTGAAGTTCAGATTGTGATAGTCTACACATAATCTGAGACCTTCATCCTTCTTCTTCACAAATATCACAGAGGCTCTCACAGAGGTCTGTGAAGATCAGATAAAGTCATTCTTCAGATTCTTCTTTACATAGGTCTGCAAGACCTCTGTCTCATAATGAGAGAGCTTATAGATTGATTTTCAGAAGAGTTTCTACTCTTCTATCAAATCTATTATCAGATTCTTCTCACAGTAAGAAGAAAGCTCAGCTGCCTTAGCTGAGCTGAACATCTCTGTGAGATCTCAGTATTTCTCTGATATCTGAAGCTCAGTTTTCATGACTGTGAGATTCTCAGATACTCATAAAGTCATTATATAGATGAGCTTGTCTTCTCTAATCAACTCTGCAGCATCAACTGCTTCTACCTTCATAAGTAAGTCTACCAACACTGATTGAAAGTATAAACCTGACTTATGAACAGCTATGTGCGGATTATGTCTTTAAAGTTATACAAGTCTCAAATACATGTTATCTGTGATGTCTGTGATAATCACAGTTTCTGCAAATCTTCTTCAGGTTTCAGAGAGATCTTGCAATTCAAAGATGACTCTTGTAAGTCTCTCAGTTCTCAGGTCTGAGTTCTCATACTCTGCTTATTATAAGAGCAGATTCTCAGTCTTTACCTTTCAGTTCATTCACTCTGTGAGCTTTAGAGACATCACAGTGACCTGAGATCCTGAGTTCATCAATGCTTTCCATGCTTGTGAGACAGCAGCACTGCGGTGCAGTCTCTTCTCATAAGTAAGCATTTTCATTGAGAGAGTAACAGATTCAGGTGTCAGCTTCAAGACTCTTAAGAAGGCTGTTGCTGACTCTGTTCATAACTTCTCAAATTTCTATTTTGATTTATCTGAACAGTTTGCACAGAGATGTCCTGATTTAGAATAGATGAAGCAGAGTCTCTTTTTCTTGATCTCTCTGTTATACACTCTGTTTGCAGAAGCTTGTAAAGCTCTCTCTCTCTACTCAGCAGTCAGATGCAAATCTCTCTATATCTTGTCATCTTTTCCTAACAAACCTGTCCTCTATTGTTCTGACTCTCACAGGGCTGATTGATGATCTGCTCTTCACAGATCTGTAACTCTCACAGTAATCTGTAAGTGATGAATGAGAGTTATCAGTTTCTTCAGAGTCAAGAACTTAGAGTCTTACTCAATAAGCTTATTCTACATGTCTTTATTCAGTCTCTTTGCAAACATCATTATTCAGGTCTTGTTTCAGAGCTCTGTTTTCACAGATCTCAATTCACATCATAATTTCATAAAGCATCATGAGTAGTCTTCATCAGATTTCTCACCTCTTTTTCTAATATTGATGATCACAGTTCAGATGTTCTCTGTTCAGCTCACAGAGTTCCTCAACTTGTTCTCTAGATAGGTCTTGAGAACAGATCATCAGAATCTCTCATAATCATTTTCTAGATAATTCAGCCAGTTCTTAACTTCAGTGTAATAGAGGCCTGTCATTGTATAGATAACAGCTTCTTCATCTTTCATATCACACAGTCAGGCTTGTGAGTCAATTTCAAATACAAACTTGTAAAAGCTTTTATAGATTGTGATTCAATAGATGGCCTTAAGTGATCATAGCTTGAGAAAGTTTCTTTTCAGTTTGCAGATGTCTCTGAAGATTATGTCTAGAGACTTAGTTCAAGAGTGTTTGCAGACAGTAAGCATTTCTTGTAGAAAAATAGCTTGATTCTGCAGAAGATGCTCAAGAATGTTCTTCACTGAGATTGATTCATTTGTGAATTCAGAGAGTTCCTCTGTCACAGATGCAGAGAATGATGTTCTGTGAGTGATTAATAAGTTCTCTGAGACTTCTTTCACAGAGATTATTCATGATTCAGGTGACTGCTCCTGAGTGTCTGCAGTAGAGTTTGCAGGGATTGAAGCATGCAAGTTTCTAGTTCTTTCAGTCATAACAGATGATTGCTGACTGACTGAGCTTGAAATGTAAGAATAAGTGCTCACAGGTGATTATTCAGGTGTTTGCAGCTTGATGTGATATGTACTGTTAACTACTAGAAGTGTTCACAGTAGAAAGATAAATGTAGAGATCAAATGTATCATAGCATTCAAGCTGAGTTGTGAATAGTATTCACAAATTCCAGTCTATATAGTTGTGTGTAGCCAAGGGCCGCTAGCCCTATTGATTACATGAGAGATAGGAATAGAGGTAAAGAATCCGCGAGAAGCGGGATTTCTTACAGAAATGAATATATATAATAATTATACAAGAATCTCACAGAAATAATTGAGAGTTGATCAGAATTCTTCTGTATGAAAGATATAAGATAAATCTATATAATAGTCAGAGAAAGATCTGCAGGTTATAAAGAATCTTATAAAATAAGCAACTGAGTAACAGACTCTTTTTTCTTTATAATAATAAGAGATTTTTCCTCACTGAGGTTTTTTTTGTAGATATGAAGAGTTTTTAGTGAGTATTACTACAGTGCTGAGTCTGATTCTATAAAATCACTTAGTGAAAGACTTTATGAATAAAGTCTTAGAGAGAAAAGAGTATATAAGAAATCTCACTTTTTATAGATTCTTTATCTCTATTTCTATCTCTTATATAATTAATAGAGTTAGTAGCTCTTGACTATATATAACTATAGAAACTGAAGTTTCTTAATACTATTCATAACTCAGCTTGAATACTATTATACATTTAATCTTTATATTTTATCTTTCTATTCTAAATACTTCTAGTAATTAATAGTACATATCACATAGACTGACCGTGTGACTGTGTCTGAAACCAGGACCAGATTTTTTAATAGTTTCATTATCAATTTGACCGATCCCATTACATGGTTTTAATATTAGATAGTAGTCTCATACTGTTTCAGTGAGACTTTCTGTCTACTCTTGTCACATTTTTCAAATGAGACTATGATTTTCACTTCTCAATTTAAATTCTTTTTATTGCTTTAAATGACTTTAAATCTCATTTGAGTGTTATTAAAAAGTGTTACTTTTTAAAAAATTAAAAATAGTCTAAAAAAAACCATAAAATGTCTAAAAATAGTAACTTTATATCAAGAATGAGACTAAATGAGATCAAATGAGATTACTTTCTCATTTTTTTCAAGTCATGATTTCATTTTAAGATCTTAAATATGATTACTTTGCATGTTTTTTTAATAACTAGTCTCAGCAGAATTCACATCAAGAAATGTATGAGATCAGATGAAATGAGATTAAATGTGAAATTTATAGTCTCAGCAGCTAGTCTAATATCATATCAAGCTGTAAACATCTGAATAATTATCTGTGAGTACTTATTCTTACACTTTGTAAACTGACTCTGAAGTCAGTTTAAAAATAATATGTTTTTTATAAGCTTCTTTCTAATCAATATTAGTTAACTACCTTCACTTTGAACACTATTTTATATTATATTGTCTCTAAAAGTACTATTCTATATTATCACACACTATTGAAGTTGAATATTATTTATTTATAAGATCTTAGTGGAAGATACAACTACAGTCACTCAATTCACTAAACACCTGTCTTTTTCATCTGTAATTTGTAAAAAGCAGCTGTAATATTAGTACAGACACTCTGTTCACTGAACAGTCATGATATTGAGACTGTACTTTTTAAAGAAAGTGAAGATCTGTACAAAAAGAATGAGTACACACAGCCGCACTGAACAGGCTCTTTATGTTATCTCAGTGAGCTCAGACTCTCTGGCTCAGTTTGAACAGATTACAGCATTATTATTAACTAATCTAGTATAATACTAGTCTACTTTTGATACAAGTTATATACTCAGAGCAATTCTCATCACAGAGTCTGAGAAGAAACAGTTTCATCTGCAATAAAGATTTCTGAGATTTACAGAGATTTTTCAGATTCTTTAACTTTGACTTTCTATTACTATATACTCATATATCTTTGAGATTTGAAAATCATCTTAGCTTATAGCTAAAGAGAAGAAGAATAGAAATATTACTTTAATATTTCAAAAAAATCTATATTTAAGATAAATGTATACTCTTGAAAATGATCATATTTTTTGATCTCAGAATTTCTAAGAGCTTTTTTTTATATGAGAAATTGAATTAAAATTCCTGTGTTCAAAAACACACTGATTAACTTTGAGATGATACTTCTATTCTAAAAACTTAAGATATGAATATAAAAATCAGATACATCATGAGAACATTATTATTCTAAGGTTTTAAGATGATATAGAAATGATGAATCTATAAAGTTAAGTTGAAATTCTCTTTCATACTCAGAGTACTGAGTAACTTATTCTCATGTTATTAATAATCAGAAACTGTTTCTTCTCAGATGCTTTATAAGATATTATCACTCACATGACCTGATTTTACTATTTGGGTTAGCTTATTGCTTATTTGAGGTTAGCTCATGACATAATCATCAATCCAGTGTTAAAACAGCAATGAATATCTGGAGAAGCGTCTGAGCTTGCTGAGATAACCTTTGTGTTCTCCAAATCCGGACATCATGTGATCAGTATCTTAGTCATGCAGGTTATAATGGGAGCTTCGGCAGCAAAAAACAAGGAGGCTGGGACCTACAAAACACCGTCTCTTGAGCTCTAGAGATTCATTGTCGCGGGGCTTCTTTCAATCATTTTCTGCTTTCTTTTGTTCTTTTATTTGATATTTTATTCTTTAATATCCTAATTCTACGCTGTCCTTTTGGTTTGGCCGCAATTGTGCCTCTCATCCACCCTCCTACGGATAACAGTCGATCGTTTGCAAGCGCATCCACCCCTTGATATTTCTTTCCTTTCCACATTTTCTCAAATAGCAATTAAAGAAGAATGTCCGAACCACGCATAGAAATCCCTGCGGAGAGCTTCGACGTAGATATGGCTTGTTCTACGGAAACCCCTGTTACGACCGAAGGTGCGGAAGCTGGAGCTGAAGCTGATACTACTATGGTGGAAGAAGCAAGTACGCCAGCTCCAGAAAGGAAGGAATCCGCATATATCGAGTGAGTAAGCTACATGATCCCTAGTGGCAAATATTATAACATAGTGTACTTCTTCAGTGTTTAGTAGGAGGCGCATTGCTCAAATTTCCGGCTTTTTCCATAGTAAGAAAAGGCTGGCGCATTGATTCTGACACCTATTATAATAGATACTTAAAATCGCCGATAGTGGAACTAGTTGTCGGTAGAGGCGAGGATCAAACCACTCTAACAGCCCATGAGGCCATACTTACCGCCAGCCCCTTTTTCAGGGACGCAGTCGCCCAGTTCACTGGTGATGGCCCTGTACGCTACCCTATTCTCCAAACCCGCTTCCGCAGTTTAATGTGAAAACTGCTGGCAATAAACAGGGTCATGTAGGAACAGGGCAAAATAAATATGGCTAACCGGTGTCCGTCATTTCCACTAGCGTCGAATAATACTGGAAGACGAGGTTTTAGATACCATTGGCTGCTTCCTCCAATACCAGTACACAGGCGAATACTTCCCAAGGCGTCTTGCCGCGCCGTCCGACGCACTTGAAAGCGACCCTTCAATTCCAGCAGTCGACGACACGGGCGACCAGCTGCTAAAGCATGCGCGCGTATACACCCTGGCCGAAAAACTCGGCCTACAAACCCTCAAACAATTAGCACACAGCAAGATCCATCGCATCAGCAGCACTGCGCGTGGAGAAATCGCATATGCGAGATATGTCTACGGTAACACGCCGGCGGAAGATACCGTTATTCGGAAACCTGTTGCTGCATTTTGGGCTACAAGGAGCCATGTCCTGCGCCACGAGGCCGAGCAAGAGTTCAAGGCCATGTGTTTGGAGTACCCACAGTTTGGTTTCGATGTGCTCAGTCTTGTGCTTGATCAAAAGGAGAAGCGAAGTCACGATCGGGACACTGAGACTCCAGTCAAAGGCAGCGCGCGAAAGAGGGCGCGGCAGCTCTAAACCTAACTACCCCCGTATTTTTTGTGCCTTGTAAAAGATCAGGGATGTTCCTCTTTTTTCCTTTTTCTTTATTTTTCGTCTCTCTTTTTTATTCGCTTCAAGTATACACCTGTACACGTGCCTACGCTAAAAACCCACCACATCCGTGGGGGGGCACCTCACCACAATATGATTATCACCATAACGCTATATTTCATCAAAAATGAATATATTTGTAGCTTTAATAGCGCGGTATATTAGGATCACCATCTTTATCTATATAAGAAAAAAAGTCCTCTACATTTCTCATACTCATTAATTCAATATTTATAACCTCTAGATCTGTCTGCATCGCAGATTGCTTGAGTCTCTGCTAAACTAGTTAGTGAGATTATGAATTTCATGTTTAATCTCATTTAATCTGATCTCATACATTTCTTGATGTGAATTCTGCTGAAACTAGTCATCAAAAGAACAGACAAAGTAACTATTAATTAAATTTCAAAATAAGATCATAATTTAGAAAAATTAAGAAAGTGATTTTATTTAATTTTATTTAAATTAATTTTTAGTATAAAATTGTTATTTTTAGAGATTTTAAATTTTTTTTAAACTGTTTTTAATTTTTTAAAAAGTAACATTTTTTGATAATATTTAATTAAGATTTAAAGTCATTTAAAGCAATAAAATGAATTTAAAATTAAGAAGTAAAAATTATAATTTCATTTTAACAATGTGATAAAAACAGATATTAAATCTTACTGAAATTATATAAAATTATTATTTAATCTTAATTATTATTATTATTATTATTCTTTTATTATACTTATATAGAAGTAAAGCTTATAATAAGTTCTTATATAATATTAAATACAGATTAAGTGTTAATTATATAGAAGAAAATACAGATATTGAAATTATATTAAAATAATAAAAATATAGAAAAATACAAAGAACTGATAAATCTGATTATTTTTAAACTAACTATGTAACCGTGTCCGAGATCAGAATTAGAATATTTAATAGTTTCATTATCAATTTAACTGATCTCATTACTAGACTGACCGTGTGACCGTGTTCAGAATCAGGATCAGATTTTTTGATAGTCTCATTATCAATTCAACTGATCTCATTACACAGTTTTAACATTAGATAGTAGTCTTATACTGTTTTAGTAAGACTTACTGTCTACTCTTATCACATTTTTCAAATGAGATCATGATTTTCACTTCTCAATTTAAATTATTTTTATTACTTTAAATGACTTTAAATCTCATTTAAGCATTATCAAAAAGTGTTACTTTTTAAAAAATTAAAAATAGTCTAAAAAAAACCTTAAAATGTCTAAAAATAGTAACTTTATGCTAAGAATGAAATCAAATAGAATTAAATGAGATCACTTTCTCATTTTTTTTCAAGTCATGATTTCATTTTAAGATCTGATATATAGTCACTTTACATGTTTTTTTAATAGCCAGTCTCAGCAGAATTCACGCCAAGAAATGTATGAGATCAGATCAAATGAGACTAAATATGAAATTCATGATTCTGATAGTCAGTCTACTCATTAGATAGTTTTAATATTAGATAGTAGTCTTATACTGTCTTAATAAGACTTACTATCTACTTTTATTATATTTTTCAAATGAGATCATGATTTTCACTTCTCAATTGAAATTATTTTTATTGCTTTAAATAACTTTAAATCTCATTTAAGTGTTATCAAAAAGTGTTACTTTTAAAAAAATTAAAAATAGTCTAAAAAAAACCTTAAAATGTCTAAAAATAGTAACTTTATATTAAGAATGAAACTAAATAAGAGTAAATAAAATCACTTTCTTATTTTTTCTAAGTTTTGATATCATTTTGAGATCTGATATATAGTCACTTTGCATGTTATTTTAATAATTAGTCTCAGTGGGATTCATGTCAAGAAATGTATAAGATCAGACTAAATAAGATTAAATATGAAATTTATAATCTCAGTGACTACTCTAATTATTTTTCAGTCTTTGTATAATAGTTTAATAATCTGAAAATATTTATACTTCTTTTAAATTAGCTCTTTTATAACATTTTAATTCAAGTAACTTAAAAGCTGTTATTATTGCAAATAGTTCAGTATTAAAAACTTCACATTTACTGTTTAATCTTTATAAATTTGAAATGAAATTTATATTATTTTCAATACAAGTAATATTTATATTTAATCTATTCAAATTTTCATTTTCATTTTCATTTTCTAAGTTATCTAAATAAATCAAAATTGATTCTTTTATAATAATTGTAAAAATTTTCTTTAAATATTATTTATATTCTTTCTCTTTAAATAGTTCACTTATTCACATATCTATAAGAGATTTCAGCTTTTGTTATTATTATTATTATTTCATTATACTTATATATAAGTAGAGCGTATGATGAGTTCTTATATAATATTATATAAAAATTAAATATTAATTATATAGAAGTGTGGCGGGCTGCGCCTGATCAATTATATAGACTATTTCATTACACTTCACAGATTTCTACTGCTTTAATTCTTGGTCGCTGATTCTCAGCTGAAAATCTACAGAATTTCTATTCTTTCATCTCAAAGCTTCACTGTGTATAAAAACCTCTATTCTTTCACTCTGAAGTTTCACTGTGTATATTATCATATATGTGTATAAATATTCACTCTGATTGCTCATTCTCACACTTTCTATTTCTTTTCTTCTCTAATATTTTTCACTTTGTTATATAAGATCTATAAATATTATACTGACCTATTCAGCATAGACCTCTTACACTTGAAAAATGTTTATTATCTTCTTATTAGAAACAATTACTCAGTATGATATCTGAACACATAATAACAGGTAAGAAATAGAGAAACAGTTAAATAGTTAAATAAATACTGAGTTCTCAGATAAAAGCTTACTCATCAGTCACTCTGACTCTGTAACAAGATCTTACAAAGAGAGTAAGATTTTACAAAGAGAATATCAGTGAAAGATCTGAGAGTTCTGATATTACAGATGTATAAGATATTTATATAATTACACTTCTTCTGATTTCACAGATATTATATATCTAATAATCAATATAATCATGTCTAATAATAATATAGAAGAACTCTTGAATATAGATATAGATATAATATTACAGTGACTCTGAGCAATGTTAAAATTATAACAGTTATAGATAGCTAATATACATACAACTCAATAACTTCAATACAAGAAAATTCAATAATTAACTTAATAAGAAACTTATATAATTTCAACATCTACAGAATTAAATATAAAAGTGCTGAAAGAATACTTAGATACTCTTATATATTTCAATACTTCTGATCTCACTCTCTACTCATTATAAAGAATGAAAATACTTATGAAACTGAGTATAAATGAAGATATCATCAGTTCACTAATCAATCAAGATTGATATATTAATGAATAATTGAAGAATTATATGAAATAGAAGTTTCATTCATGAATGAAAGCATGTGAATCAGTATTATGAATATCTGATAATATTATTAAATATCTTGATATTCTGTTCTGAGACACTGTCATATAACAAAAAGTATTATATTAATTACAGAGTATCTGACAGAGAAACACTTCTCTTACAACATTTATCTCTGACTTCAACATCAAGATCTTACAAGTAGATGATCAATCTCGAGAGAATTAAATGAAGATTAGTATACTTAAGAAGATATTAACTTTTGAACTCTTACAGACTCTTATAAGTATAAACAAAGACCTGACTTATAAAGACTTCTGCACACAGCTTCAGATATTGAATAATTATCTTATCAAGCTCAAGAGTATACAGAACAGTGATAGAAGATATTACACTTGTATATCTGTGCTAAGAAATAACTCAGTCACTCATACATCTGTGCTGAGAAACAACAACAATGATATAGATGCTATGAACTGAGTAGACTCAAATGTCTATATATAAGTAAGAGTCTCTGTCATCTAAACAGGCTTCTGAGTCTCTGAGATCACTTCTGAAGAAGTTACTAATCAATATCAATAAGAAGTGTGCATTAACTGTAACTGATTGAGATATATTACTTTCAACTGTTGATTGATCTACATATCTTCTTGCTTAAAGAATGAATCAGTGCCTGTCTGTATCAACCACATTACATTAGAGAAGAATTTGAAAGATAACTATGAAAATATCTTGATAAAGCAGAGAAAAGATTAGCTTCTGTCTAAATTTATAAGCAGAAGCTTGAAGAGGTTGAATGATGATGATTTAAAGAGAAAATGACAATGAATGTGATTCTTATATCTACTGTGATAGATAACATGTATAATATGAAAGCTATGATAGACAGTGATCTATGTCATTATACAATGATTAAATCTTTCATCATAAGATGTTATAATCTTCAGTGTATTCTCTTATCAAGACTCTGACTCCTTGCAGGATTTGATAATTCAGAAGACATTCATACTTGTTATATGATAAAACTAAACATAGATGTGTCAGAGAATATTAATGTGAAGATGTCTATGCATACAAAGTTGATAATCTTGACTATGATCTCATGCTAGAACTTATTTAGCTATCTGAATAAGACATCTTATTAAGTACTTGAAACAGGAGCTTAATATTCTCTAATAATGATAGAATTCATGAAGATAATATTTATAAGACTATGAATCTTACACAGATCTCTGTCAATGCTTATAAAATACTTTAAAAAAGAAGTCATTATTAAAATCACTGACAGAGTCACTGACAAAGTCATCAATAGCAGAATTATGTATCAATCTATTTCATCAGTATGATCAATATTAAGAAAGCCCTAGAAAAGTTATCTCATACTATAATAACAGATTCTCACATAAAACTTTCTCAATAATATCATGAATATCTAGATGTCTTCTGATAAGATAATATTAATATATCTTCTTTACAAGATTCAGAAGTGAATCACAGCATCAAGTTAGACAAGAAGAATGATAAGAACTCTGAATCACTGTGAGGCTCTCTTTATAATATATCTCAAGATAAACTTCTTCTTCTTCAGAAGACACTCAATAATCTGTTGAATAAGAAATTTATATATATTAGTAACTCTTTCACTGCAGCTTCTATTCTCTTTGAAAAGAAGTTAGATAAAGAACTCTGATTCTGTGTGAACTATTAAGATCTGAACAGATTGATAAAGAAAAACTATTATCTTTTATTTTTCATCAATGAAACTCTAGCATATATTGAGTGAGCTCAATAATTTATAAAGTTAGATATCATCACTGCATTTTATAAGATTTGTATTACTGAAGAAGATGAATAACTTATAGTATTCTGAACATATTACAGTCTCTTTGAATGAGTAGTCACATTCTTTGAACTGACTAATACTCTCAGTACATTTCAGAAGTATATCAACTGAGCACTCTGAGATTTTCTTGATAAGTTTGTATCTGTATATCTAGATGACATTCTCATCTTCACTAACAGATTCAGAAAAGAATATCAAGAACATGTGGGAAAGAT